TATCTCCACCACTCTAAGAACTGGCTGCTCTTGCTGACAAGGCAAAATGTGTTTTGGACATGTGGGCTGACACAATGAGGTCTTTGAAGAGCTCAGAATAAGTTCTTTCAACTGTTTCCCCCAGTGGTCCATCCCACAACCCAAGGTCTCAGAGGATCCTTTGAGGTGCTAGTTGGCCTTCCCTGTGACTTATTAGCAAATCTATTTCTTCATGCCTTGCAAGTTCACATTGTACAGGACTCACACATGTACAAAGACCAGAGTGGCAGTCGGTTTTTCATATTGTGACCGTAAGGCTTGTTATCAAAATAATTGAGGCTGAAAGGATTATGACTAAAGCTAATAGCTATTGGAATAATGAAGCTATTAAACCAAACCTGCCAAACTTCCAGATCCAACCAAAGCTTGGTTCAGGGCTCGGTCCTGGAATATCCATTAGTGGCCATTAGAGCTGGGTGATATGGCCAAAAATGTTATCACGATAAACAAAATTCATATTGTTCGATATCGATACATATCGCGATAAATGTCAAATCATTATTTCTATCAAGTTTGAAGGCTGATTTTTGCTGCGGGGTGATTAATTGCTTTTTTAAACTATCCTTTATGGTCGGAACACGACAAACACTCAGCAAACAGTGGGACATTTCACAAATCTGTCATGGGACAGTGGGAGAAAGTGTCTGGAGAGCTGTTTTTACCAGCTGGAAAAATATGGCTATTTTTGTAATAGTCATAATTTAAAAAAGAAAACAGATTATTTTTAGCTGGTGACGAGCGCTCGGCTACCCTGCTACAAATGACATCACAGTATTCAGACACCAACTAGCGACGACTGGATTTCTCTATACTATTGTAGTAGTTTAAGGGGTGAACCGCAAAATATCAACACCAGACAAACAGAGTCCTCCTTTTAGGTACGTTTAAACTGAAAGCGGTGCTTTTGTGTCGTGTTTGATCTACAGTATCATCAATTTGCTGTGTTGTGTGAGTGACGGAGCGCTGCTTCAAGTTAACCAGCTGCTAAAAACAGCTAGCCTGGAAAGCTAGCGCTCTCCCGCTCTCCAATGCCTCACAGCTTCCTCAGTTTACTTTCGTTTAAATCAGGGCTGTAAGTTACATGAACCCACTTCTTTCTTTCACTTCCGTTGCTTGGGAATGCACTAATACTAAAATATGACTGTCCGAGTGCTGTAACAGCGCTGTAGTTGTGAGGATTGTGATTTAATGCTGCCAAAGCTGGTTAGGATGTTAGGAAAGAGGTGAGTTTACTGTAGGACAGAATAGTTACACCACTGACCTCATCACTCACACTCGGTCACAGGAGAGCAGATCGCCGGTCACTTTACTCGAACAGGGAATGTATAACTCCGCGTTTCAGCCGTTGCTAAAGACTCATTTCACTCGTCGCCCCTCCCTCTCTAATCATGTAGAAAAACTCGGAAGTGCGCCATCTCCTGGCGACAGCAGAGTAGTGTCGCTTTCCTTGCAGTAGAAAACGCCACCAAGGCTTTCACTAGAACATGGAAGTGTGAGAACGGTGTATTATATCGAACATTTATCGAACATGTCGTATCGCTCTGTCAAGGAAAAGTTATATCGCGATAATTATCGTTATCGTTTATCGCCCAGCCCTAGTGGCCATCTCAGTCCCTGGATTTAAAACGTCTTAAAAAACCTTTGGTGGCATTTAAAGAAAGCTGTGGCAGTACAGAAACCTTACAGTACAGGAACGTTAATGAGCTGGAAGCTTTTGCACTTGAGGAAAGGGCAAAGATTCCAGTAGAGAGATGTCAGATGTTTGTGAGCTTGTACCAGAAACATTTATTAAAGGGTATAAAATGTAAAGGTTGCGCCATGAAATACTGACTTTGGGGGTTGAATAGTCTTGAACACTGACATTTTCCGAGAAAATAAATTTTTTGAACTGTTAGTAAACTCAGTAAACTCAACCTTATCAACCTTATGTTCTCAAAATCTTTTGAGCATGTAGTGGTAATAGACCTTCTTTGACTGTTTACTAAGCCTGGGTTGATAGATTTTCATTTTCAGGGTAATTGCCTCATGATGGTAAACTGGGAAGTCTATAATAACATTGACAGGCCAACTCAGTGTCCTGACCTGAGATGAGAGACCAACTTGATGCTATTCAGTTACTAAAAAGAAAACTGAAAGCATAACGAGCAGTAATTGAAGACTGCCTCACTCTGGAAAGTACCCAGAAACTGGGGATATTTGAAAGACCATTGATTTAAGGCACCCATTGATAGGGAATTTGCCACGAAATGATAAACTTGACAGTTTTATGTTCAACTGTCCAGTAGCCTTACCCCTGAAGGGGTGCAGTGAGTAGAAAGGACTGATTTCTATGTTTTACCCAGTATGAATGAAAGATGTATACACTTTGTTCTTCAACCTCATATTCACTTTTTAATTTTTAAGTTGAATGTGCTGAAGTGGAAACAGCAAAAATGGTCACTGCTATAAAGTTGGTGTGTTAAATTAAGGGCTGTGATGTTATGTTTGGTAAACTAACCAGATGCTCGCAGTTGTAAAATAAGAGTGGATGTTTATTAGGAAGGAGCGAGTTCACAAGAACAATGAGTGCATTTACATGCAATAATCTGATAACTACAGAAAATCAGATTTTGTCAGTAATCTGATCAATGTGTTTACATGCTGCTTTGTAACTACCAGTAAACTCACTGAAGACGTGACGTAACCATAATGTGAAACTCATGCCGCAGAGTAAGAGTTCACATTCACTGAGAAATCTGATTACTGAGCTAAAATTCAGCTCTTTTTATTGGATTTCCTAATCGGATTTCTAGACCTTACTCTGGTCTAAGAAATCTGAGTATGCTGTTTACATGACCATTTGAATAATCAGATACCTGCAAAAATCTGATTGTGATCGAATTATTGAGTGCAAGTAAACACACTCAATGTTGAAGATCAAAACTGAGTAACCAAAAGATATACATGAGCGATAGGCTAAAGAGCAGTGGTGGACAGTAACTAAGTAAATGTAATTCATTACTGTACTTAAGTAGTTTTTCATGTATCTGTACTTTACTGAAGTATTTCCATTTTGGGCGACTTTTTACTTTCACTCCACTACATTTCAAAGTCAAATATCTTACTTTTTACTCCACTACATTATGAGAAATCTGTCGTTCCTTTTGGTTTATGTGTGTATAAAAATGTAACGCCAAAACGAACGAAGAGCAAAGCGAGAATCAGGTTATAGCGCGCACTTTGTTTTGAGCTTGTTTTGACCTGTTGGTCATACCGACCCAGTGCAAGCATGCGGTTCAACATCAGTGCAGCAGTGTAAAATTTTGGGAGAGTCTAAAAATGGAAATACTTCAGTAAAGTACAGATACATGAAAAACTACTTAAGTACAGTAATGAATTACATTTACTTAGTTACTGTCCACCACTGCTCTTTAGCCTATCGCTCATGTATATCTTTTGGTTACTCAGTTTTGATCTTCAACATTGAGTGTGTTTACTTGCACTCAATAATTCGATCACAATCAGATTTTTGCAGGTATCTGATTATTCAAATGGTCATGTAAACAGCATACTCAGATTTCTTAGACCAGAGTAAGGTCTAGAAATCCGATTAGGAAATCCAATAAAAAGAGCTGAATTTTCAACATAAATGATGGAACTAACCAAACTTTGTGTAAAATGACCACAATATAGACATATGTACACACATGCAGTTGTGACTGACGTGTTTTTTTTTTTCTTTCAGAATTTATACAAACATTATTTCATTTTATAATGAATTTGTTTATGAACAGAGCTACAGATGCAGTTTAGTAAAGGAAAACACATTTGTGAATCTGAGTTTGAAGCAAGTTTTTATTAAACTTAGACTTGTAACTAAGTTGCAAATAAATCTTAAACTGAAACTTTGCTGGTTTGCAGAAAGTTATTTCAGAACCACTTGGTTCTACCTGATGGAAACTGTTTGCCTTCAGTGTTTTGTGCTTATGATAATTTTAATAGATATCAGCCTCAGACTAATTAATGACATTCTATTAAAAAATTGGTTTACCAAGAGTGACACTGGAGTATTTTCACCAAAAATGAGTTAATGAAGCAGAGTCTTGTTACAAAAATGGTAATAGGACATTAGAGTCATGATTAATCTTTCAGTACTTTTACTTTTGATACTTAAGTACATTTGAAGGCAAATACTTTTGTACTTTTACTCAAGTGGAGGTCTAAAGGGAGGAACTTCTACTGGAGTAATATTTTACCTTGGGTATCTCTACTTTAACTCAAGTACATGATTTATGTTCATGTACTACTGCTAAAGAGTGAATCCAAAAACATGCGAGGGTAAAAGCAAAAAGTAATCAAACCAAAACAACAGTACAAAAGGGATATCCAAAAGATAGAAATGACAATAGGAGAAAGGGTTTAAAAGAACAGAGAATACAATTGGAGGAAGAGTGCTTAATATGCAACATATAATGTTGGCAATACTTTGCAAACTGAGATACAAACAGACAGGCTTGTGTGAGAAATGAGCATCAGGTGATAACAATTCAGTGATCTGGTGACATGAATCTGGGTAATCGTCCATGAGTCTGTGATGTGTGTGTGTCCAGAGGATTATGGGAGTTGTAGTGAGTGGATTCGAAGGTGGAAAGGGAGAACCCCACACTGTGTCAGATGATTGGCTTTGATTGGGTTTAGGGTGGTATATGACAAATTTATGGCTCTGACTTTTTATGTCCTATTGGTATTGTTTTTTTGTTATTTAGTTGAGACATAAGTACTGATATTAAACTATTCAGATTTTGTTATTAAAGTGTTTATTTCTTGTCATTAAACTGTTATAAGTATCAATTTGTGCTGTTTGCTGAAAATTGGCTATGAGCAGACCAGAAAGTTAAACTCTGCATAGACTGATCTATATTTTATTTGCTTTACTTTTTTTCTATACTGCTATATACTGACGTGTTTGTCTTCACTTTTAGTTCCTCCTGTTGTTGGTGTGACCACTGAAGTGATTCCTGTTGTTGGTGAGTCTGAAGTGATCTTAGCAACCTGCACTGCTACTAAATCACGGCCTGCTGCAGATGTTTCCTGGAGGCTGGGGGATCTGAGTGACTCTGTAAAAGTACAGACTAATGTTTCTGCTGACCCTGATGGGTCCTTCACTGTCAAAAGCTTCCTGATTGGTGCAGCATCCAAAGATCTAAACCAGCAGAAGGTTCAGTGCTCAGTGAACCACACCAGCCTGAATAAGGAGCTGATACTAGACTACGCTCTAATCATCCATTGTAAGTCACTGTCAGCAACCTGATTGTCAGACACTCTAGTGACACATACTTAACAAACTGTCATGTCAGTATCTGGACAATGTGACAGTGTGTATAATGAACAATCTGTAACTTAATAATACCATCTATTCATATTCACACAACCTAACCTGAAACAGTTGTGTCATTGTTCATAGTTTTTTTTCAGAGACACTGATACAGGTCCTGTTGTTAGAGAGGACTGGAATTTTTTGTAGCCTAACAACGTGTTTGATGAACGCCTTCATTGTCTTGTAGTTTTGGTAGACTTTGCAACAGCAAATATTTCTATTTCAGAAGCTAAGAGGAGCAAAAGTATACAGAGGCAGGTCAAACTAAGATGATTCTTAAATATGTGTGTACCAAGAAACTCATGAAAGGCATTCAATTAAATAAAACTTTATTTACTCATGTAAACTTTTCAATACTTAAAAGCACAGAAGGCTGCTCCATTGCATGTCTTGTAAACTGGCTATACAGTTTAGCATTCTGTCTTATTGTTAGCTCCCAATTATGTTTCATTTAGAAGTAACCTTTTAACGTGTCATGTTTTCAATCTTTTCGCTTGCTATTTTTAGTTATTATGTGCCTTTTTCTGCTCTTCTTCTCTCAGATCCTCCTCAGGTTGTGTCTATTATTTCAGTCAATGTTCCAACAGCATCTCAAGAATTTCAGTGTGTAGTTGATGCCAATCCACAACCAACATTCACCTGGAGCAGGTAATCTGATCCTATTTAACACCCTGATGGTTGGGCAGCTGCAGAACTCACAGTGGACATCTGTTATAGACTAAATAATAGATGAAAGGCAGAAATAGCACCTGCTGCAGCTGAGCCTCTAGAGATAGTGTTCTCGTTTCTCCTTCATGAATAGAACAGTCATTTTCATGTTTTGCTTTTCATGTTTTACTGCCTATTGCTATTATTGGTCTTATGGTTTTATTTCTTTTCAATATGATTATTTTAAACATTATATTCAGAGCAAGATGAGCAAGGGTGATATTTGCTAGCCACTATTTTACTACTGCTAAAGTACACAATGCTTTCTGTAGATATGTAATGAGCTGATGTATGATCAACTGCAAAAGAGTGAAATTCAGAGCATCGTTTTGCTGATTTTTACTGATTTGATTTGTTGGGGGGCTTTTTTATCAGCCACATTAACTCTGCACATGTAGTACTTTTGTGCAAAGGAAGATTAACACATTATTACTTTTTGTACTCACAGGGTAAACAAGACTCTTTCCAGCCCTGTTAATGCTGACAGGCTGATAATCCCACTGACCTCTGATAATAATGGCTTGTATCTCTGTAATGTTTCAAACCAGTATGGAAATGGCATAGGTACCCTTTATGTGAATGTTTCCACAGGTGAGTCTCATTTGTATTGATGTAAAAATAGACTATATATGATTTATCAGTCTTATCTCAGTTTTCTATAGCAATATTCTTACGGGTCAGGTACTTTGCAAAGTACTCTATATGACAGCTGTTCAGTCCAGTGGTTCACTGTCATAAGAAACTGCTTTAAAAAAAAAATCTATATCTGTATTTAAGCCTGGAGAAACTTAACCTTTGCTAACAAACATGTCAGGATGCGGGTCGCACTAACTTTATATCCGTGGGTGCTTATAAATACTAATTTGAGCTGAAAATACTGTCCTCTGTTTATAAAGTGTTAAAAGAAATACAAGCTTTTTCTCTTTCTCAGTCTTTTTTCCTCTTCCCCCCTTTCTCCCTCTCTCCATGTAGAATCCACCGCTGTCTGTTGGGTTTTGTTCACTTTTCTCCTCCTTGGCTTTATTGCTTCTTGTTTAATTGGATGGAAATTTAACGTATTTGAGAGATTGAGAACATTTCTTTCAGAACTGAGAAACAGAATTGGGTGAGTTTGATCATTTTTCAATATATAGTACAATGTATTGAGTCTAAAATGTTTAATTATTATGTTATGTTGGTCTCTGGAATAATTAAGGCATTTATTTCTCACTCATGCTAATCTAAAGTGAGCATCGAAATTCTTTTGTTAATAAAACACCCCACAAAATGATTCTTAATTCAAGACCCAGCAAATAATAATAAAGAATAAATAAATAATAAATAAACGTGCCACTAATTTGAATGCATCCATTCTAGGCGTCCTGGGCATGATCCTGTGTCTACAGGTGGTTCCATGTCACCCTCAAGCAGTAGAAGCCAAAACCGCAGAGAGAGCAGTGAAAGCCAATAAGACTGTGGGAGCCTGTCCAACTTTAATAACCTGGAGCTGGAACAGGAACTGCAGCGGAAGAGGAGAGAAAGAAGAACTGGTGACAAGATTGATCTCACATTCACTAGGCATGGGGTCACCAACACTGGGAATTCACTGTTCAGCCGTCATTATTCCCATTTTCTTCCTCTCCGGTGGGATCCTACCTTGTCGTGGTGGAGAGGCTTTTACCTCTTTTTGTTTTGAGGAAACAAAATGGTCCCATATATTTTACTGTGCGAATACATTTACCATACATTTTCACCATTGCAACTGTCTATGGCCCAAATACGGATAACCCCACATTCTTCCATGACTTCTTCACACAGGTTTTCAACATATCTAATTCCTCAGTAATAATAGGCGGCGATTTTAATACAGTTCTAGACTCATCCTTGGATAGATCAGCCCATACTTACATTACACGTTGTTGGAACTCCACTGAAACAATAAAACAGTTCATGCACGATTTTGGTCTTGGCGATGGATGGTGACTAAGATATCCTAATACCAAAGAATTCACCTTCCATTCTTCAGCACATAATTCTTTCTCACGCATCGACTATTTTCTAATTACCAACTCTTCGATGTCAAACATCTCACATACACAAATTCACCCTATCACAGTCAGTGACCATGCCCCCGTCTCAATCATATGAAATGGGAACCAACGACTCACAACAACCTTTACATGGCGCTTTCACACATCATTACTCAACAATTAGGAATTCAGTAACTATATCAAAAGAGAGTGGGCGTCCTTTCTAGAAATAAATGATTCTCCAGAAATTTCATCATCACTGTTATGGGAGACGGGCAAAGCAGTATTAAGAGGAAAAATAACATCATATGCTACTTACAAGAAAAAGAAAGAAACAGAAAATGAAGTAAATCTAGAATCAAAAATTAAAGAATTGGAGAACATGATCATCAACTACCCATCTGAAGACAAACAAAATATGTTAAGAGAACTTAAATATGAGCTTAATGAATTGACAAATAAGAAAACCAAATTCCTGATACAAAGACTCAGTTATGATATGTTTTGTCCTGTGTACATTTTTCTCCTGAATACCACTGGATCCTCGGAGTTCCTAATATGGGCATAACGAGGACTACAGAATGACGCACGACTACAGTCTACAGTGGTCTATTCTATAATGCCCTAAATCACATGCCTAACAACAAAGCTCCCGGCCCGGATGGATTCCCTGCCGAGTTTTATAAACATTTCTGGTCAACCCTAGCCCCACTTTTTCACAGAATGATATCAGAAATTAAACAAAACATGATATTACCAGCTAACATTTATACTGCAACCCTCTCCCTTAACCTCAAACCAAATAAAGACCATATTCTACCCTCTTGCCATAGACCACTATCACTCATGAATTCAGACACAAAAATTTTAAGTAAAGCACTAGCCAACAGAATCAAAACAGTAATCCATGATTTGATACATCTTGATCAAACAGGCTTCATCAAAGGCTGTCATTCAACTACCAATATGCGCAGAATGTAAAATCTAATTGACTACACCTCTCACCAAAAATACCAACAGCAATTATAACACTGGATGCCGAAAAACTTTTGATAGAGTAAACTGGAAATTCCTATTTACCATACTACATAAGATGGGATTTGGAGAATCATTTATTAAATGGATCCTCACCCAAAGCCACAGTCAATACTAACGGGGTAATATCACAACCTATCACACTGCACCGAGGTCATAGACAAGGATGCTCACTCTCTCCATACCTTTTCTCTATCTTTATCGAACCACTATCAGCCACAATACGTCAAAACATAAATATAAAAGGGATACAAACATCTAACATGGAACACAAAATTAGCCTGTATGCTGATGATATCTTGCTTTTCTTACAAAACCCAATCACATCAATAACAGAAACTATTCAAACTATCGAAACTTATTCAACAATCTCAGAATATTCCATCAGTTGGTCAAAATCCACAATCCTTCCACTAAATATGAATAAGCTTAATGGTAAAATTAAAGCACTACCCATCCCTGTATGCACTAATTACATCACATATCTGGGTATTAACATTTCCCCCAAGCTGTCAGAGTTGTTTAAACTTAACTTTAATCCATTAACCAAAACAATAACCAATGACCTTCAACGCTGGACAAACCTTCCCTTCTCCCTTCTCGGTAGAATAGCTGCAATCAAAATGACAGTATTACCTAAAATAATCTATCTATTTTCAATCCCTACCTGTTTGGTTCAAATCTTTGGAAACTGCAATAACCAGATTTTATTGGAAAAATATACCACCCAGAATTAAACTCTCCACACTACAAAACTTAAAGTCTCACGGCAGCCTAGAAGCCCCAAACTTCTTCCACTATTTCCTTGTATCCAATACATACTAAAATGGAAAAAACCCAACATAACAGACAGATCATGGATCGATGTAGAACAGGCATTATGCAAAGAACCAAATATCCGATTTACCATTTATCAGTCAGTCAATTAAAAAACATCCATGTTTTAACAATATAACAGTGGCAACAACTCTGACAGCTTGGTGGTCACTTCACAAGATAACAAATTCAGTCTTCACACCAACTATCTACACTGCCATCTGGTATAACCAAGACTTTATCATCAATAAAAAAACATTAAACGTCTCCACCTGGATGGAAAAAGGCATCACACATCCTAAACATCTTTATCGCAATGATATCTTTGTCACTCTCACAAGTAATCCAGAAATATGGCATCAGGAGCACTCAGTTTGTACAATACCAACAACTAAGATCATGTCCAAAAAATCAACTCAAAAACACTAGACTTACCGATTCCAATCTCAGAATTTATTAACATCACCACTACTAAAAACTACCATCCAAAATATATCAAATAATAGCTAAATCAGACCTCACAATTACTATACCAATCAGACAATGGGTGGAAGACTTATCACTCGCTCCTGATGCAGATTTCTGGATTCAGACATGCAATAATAATCACCAAATGATCAAGAGCACCAACCTACAGCTTAATCAGTATAAAATCATCCACAGAGTGCACTACACCACACACAAAATGTTTAAAATGGGATTCACAAACACAGCAATCTGTACACCATGCAACCAGAACACAAATGACCGCTATATCCATCATCTCCTATCCCATGCCTTTGTCAGCCACATCCAACCATCACCATCACTCTGCCTGCGAGGAGACATATCAACAACCAATATGACAAAAGAAAATAATAGAATGCTTTTCATAGCGCTAACCATCGCCAAGAAAACCATGCTCATGAACTGGAATACAAAACATAACATTAGCATTAACTACTGGAAAAACCAATTAATGGATTATATATCAATGGAAAAACGCTCAGAATCCATCAATATCAAAAACAAATATAGCCGCAAGCGGCAATGAGCGGGTCCAAGCACGCATAAGCCCAAGAAGCTCTTATGCACTTTGAGCCTAATAGGCCTAATAAGGCCTAACGCACTTTGGGCCTTCGAGACAGAGAGGCCGAAAAGAAATCAGAGTTTATCAACAGGCCTTCATTTGTCATGAACTAGGAGCAGGGTGCTTTAAACCTAATATATGTTTATATTTCAATTTACTACAATTTTAAAGGTTTGAAAGAATACATGAGTAATGGTAACATTTCTGACTTTGTGTTTGCAAAGTATTTAGTTTCTCCATGTTAAAGGCTTTGATAAGCAGGACACAAACAGACCCAATGGACCCATAAGGGCCCTTTAAGCATAAAGGACCTCAGTGAAAGTGGGTCAAAATTGGTCCAAAGGTCTTCAAATGTTATGAAAATCGATCATGGACCTTTGTCAAAGAAGTTCACAGAGTTTTGTTCAGATTGACCTTTTGACCTTGGTATAATAAGCTGTAGTCTTTAAATGAATAATTCAAAATACCAGAGAAGGAGTACAATTTATGACATAACATGTAATTACAAAGTTATTCAGAACAGTGAACTGAATCAAAATCTCGAATCCCGTTGTAAAAACCTTACTGACGTAAGACGACCACAGTTGTTGTCGTAAAAAGTGGGCTCTGCTTCTGTCCCCAGGAAGTGTCATAAAATGCTGTTATTGTTCAAACCACAAGAACAATATGGAGGTGGCTTCTTAAATCCTTCAGCATTAACAATTAAAAAAAAGGAAAATAAACAGAAAAGTAGAAAATCACAGTAAAACAGTTGCCAGCACAGCGTAGGTTCAACAGTGTCTAGGTTAGAAAAAAATAAACTCTAAGCTTTTGAGGTCTTTTGAGGTTCTGTGGAATAGGACAGCTGGGAGGTTTTTAACAATCCTGGTTACCATGATGACCCTCTTGCTTTGATAACAAGCTTGCTTTGAATACCAGCTTTTGTGAGAAATGTCCTTATTGTTTTTTATTTTGTAAATAATTGGTATCTGCTCTGAAAGTTGCGTAGTGTGGAAACGCTTCTGACCCTGAGGGTGTTGCATGCTGATTTAGAAACTCATGACTAGCAACTCATGATTCCTCAATCCAATAGATTTCAACAGTCTGTCTGTGTTGAGACACAAGAGCAGTTTGTCACACCAGAATTTTAGCCATGGGGTCATTGAGAGTCTTTAATAAGCCTAGTGCTGGATAACATGAATACATATTACTAGGTAACTTTAGCTTACTACACCTACTATACACCAGACAGCCAGAATAACATAAAAACAAAAGACAAAAATATAGTCTGATTAAATAAGAAGAAAAATCAACTATGCATAATCTTGGAATCAGGAAACCTAATGGATGAGGAAGGAGACACTAGGAGACGGAAGAAGTGAAGTATTGGGAAAGGAGGAAAGTTTTGGGAGAAGAGGAAAGTTTTGAGCTGGACTTTGAAGGAAGACAAGAACAAGAAGAATAGGAGAGACAGAGGAAGAGTATTCTGTAACTGATGGACAGATCTGCCACCAAACTTGGATAGTTTAAAAGGAGGAATTATTTTTAGGGTTCAAGCATGCAATGCATTGAACCCTATTGTAATTGTCAAGATTTTTCTTCCTATTCCTTTTCTTCCCTGAAACGGAACGACAGCCCAAACCGTAAGTCCTAGAGACATGAAACTTGGTCAATAGGTAGTAGTCCCTCCCGCTACTCAGCCGCAAGGAGTCAACCCAGTCGGCCACAAGGGGGCGCTATAGCGCAGGTCAACGCTTTTGGGTCTATAACTCATAAACCAGATTTTTGCCAGACAAGCCATAATTTTTTCCAAGTTCCTTGGGTCCAAACAAACAACTGTGCCCTTTGGACCATTTAGCTTCGCCCACTTAGATTTTGAGCTAATTTGCATAATATGCGAAACATACTTTTGCGAACTAGTCCTACAATTTTTGCTCGATCCTCGAAGAGCCTGAAGGTCAATAATTATCAAAAACATTTTGACTTTTCTAAACAACATGGCTGTCATATACAAATGAACTTCAAAATAATTCAGAATTAATTTAAAATTCTGTAACTCGACAACCCTTCAGCCAAAAAATTTCAAACTTGACAGACAAATTTGGTAGAAGATTCTGAGCTAGCCATTTGATTTTTGTGCGCATATGTCATTAGGGGGTGGAGTTAATGCTACATGGCTGTTTCTCAGCATCCGTACATCCGATCAGGCTGAAACTTTCCAGATACCATCTGTTGGCCAGACTATAAGTGAATCCATAAGGACAATTTGATTAATTGAAGGACATGGTCGCCATCGGCCAATCAGCATTTAGCAGGCTTTTGACAGGCTTAACATTGACCAATCATCATGAAACTTGAATGATCTCTACATATAGCCACTTTCTAACAATCAATAAAGTTTGAAAAAAATGACCACTGGGGGGCGCTATTCATAAAAATTAACATATTATTACATATTATTACTATTTTATTACAAGTTTGCTTGAACATCCTTGTGTATCATATGTAGTGTGTTATTCCAAATAATTTTTCAAAAGCATATTTATTACAAAAGTTCATAGTTTTTTTGTAATGGGTAACTGTTTAAAAAGCCTACTTTTCGAACTAGTCCCTGGATTTTGATCCAATCTTTTTGAACTTGGTCTGTTAAAATTCTTTGGCATCTCTAGGTAAATAATTATCAAAAACATTTTGACCTTTCTACTCAGGGTCGTGTGGATCAATCAATTAATTACTGTGACCATGGCATTGTTAGCTTGATTAGCTATAACTCAACAGTCATTGGTCGCATCATGTCCAAACTTTAAGAAATTTACATATTTGGACTATAATGGTGTTTGCCAATTTTGGTCCAAATTGGCCTTTAGGGGGCGCTTTAGCACTCAAAAACACTTAAAAATCAATAAAAATGCTATTACAATGTTATTACAAGGTCGACAGATAAACAAATGGTGCCATACGACTCAGGTTACTTACATGAACAACTTTCTAAGTACATGTTCTGTCACAAATTGTACTGTTTGTCTTGTATTTTGGCTTATTCATTCGAAGACTACATTATATGAAGGCTTATTATACAAAGGTCAAAAGGTCATTCTGACCAAAACATAGTGAAGAATCATAACATATTGTGGCCTTTTCACTAATTCTGAACCACTTTCACTGAGCTCATACTTTACGTTTCTATTTTTCATCTTTTTCAACTTTACTCATATTTTTGCCTGTAATTTTTGATCAGAGATAGAGACAAAATTCTTTTTTCTGCTGATTCCTTGGGACTTGCTGAACAAGTGCACCCCCACTCAATTTTTGCACCAGCCCCTTAGTTTTTGAGCTAATTTGCATAATGTGAAAAACCTATTCTTGCAAACTAGTCTCAGGATTTTTTGCCAATTTTCATCAAATTAGTACCATGAGATTCAGAAGACACTGATGCTCAATAATTATCAAAAACATTTTTACTGTTCCACTCTATTGTAGCTTGATTTGCTATAACTCAACAGTCATTGTTCAGATCATCTCCAATCTTTAAGGATATTTACATATTTGGACTATAATGGTGTCTGCCAATTTTGGTCCAGATCGGCCTTTAGGGAGCGTTTTACCACTCCAAAACACTTAAAAATCAATTAAAATGCTATTACAATGTTATTACAAGGTCGACATATAAACGAGTGGTGCTGTGTGACTCAGTTCACTCACATGAACAACTTTCTAATTACATGTTATGTCAAAATTTGCACTGCTTGTCTTTTATTTTGGCTTATTCGTTCAAAGATTTCACTATACAAAGGCTTATTATACAAAGGTCAAAAGGTCATTCTGACCAAAACATAGTGAACGTCTTTGGATATGGTCCCTGATCAAGAATGATACCATACTGTGGCCTTTTTACTAGTTCTGACCCACTTTCACTGAGCTCCTCACACCAATAGGGCCTCTTACAAGTGAATTGGGCCTCATTATGGCCTACAAGAAATAAATGGCTTAAATATAGAACCAGTCCACTGTGCAAGTGCAACTTCTTGGATGTTCTACAAAGCAGTGTAGATCAGTACATATGAATGCAAACCTATAATGTGTTTAAAACGCCACTGCTTCTTGTTTATGGCAACTGAAGGCCTTTAGATGAACTGACTTCCTATCAGTTCTATTCACTCTGCCTATGAATAAGACCCACAGCTTGAGGCCTTTTTAGGCCTAATGGGCTAAACGAGAAGCTTGAGGCCTTTTTAGGCCTAATGGGCTAAACCTGCAGAAGGGCCCATGCTGCTGTTGCATGCTTGAACCCGCTCATTGCCGCTTGCGGCTATATTTATTATTATTATTATTATTAGTAGTAGTAGTAGTAGTAGTAGTAGTAGTAGTATTAGTATTATTTTTGTTGTTGTTGTTGTTGTTGTTGTTGTTGTTGTTGTTATTATTATTATCATTATGCAGTGGTGTGGAATATGGGCAAAAACTTGTGTTCAGTAGCTGCTAGCATACATGGCAATTAAATTTAGCATTAGCTAACAAGCTTGATGATCTGTATAACAGTCACAATTCCTGGCCCAGTGTCCTTGGAGATCTGGTAAAATCACCAGCATTAGCTAAAACAATCGCTACATAGGTCCTGCTCAGTCTTTCTTAGATTGATACGTCTACATTATAAGCAGCATTTGCTAGATAACACTTATAAGTCTAAATATGTGTTTTAGTGATCCGAACAGTCTTATGGCACAAACTGCTTCTTTGAATTTGATGCCAGCAACACGTTTCAAAAAAGTTGGGACGGTGGAATGTTTACCACTGTCTTTCATCACCTCTTCTTTTAACAACACTCTGTAAGCGTTTGAGAAGTGAGGAGACCGACCGCTGTAGTTTTGAAAGAGAAATGTTTTCCCATTTTTGTTTGATATAGGATTTAAACTGCTCAACAGTTCGGGGTCTCCTTTGTCAAATGTTTAATTTCATAATGCGCCAAATGGTTTCAGTGGTGACAGGTCTGGAATGCAGGCAGGCCAGTTTAGCACCGGGACTCTTTTACTAAGGAGCCATGCTGTTGTAATACAGGCAGAATGTGGTTTGACATTGTCTTGCTGAAATAATAAAGGCCTTCCCTGAAAAAGACATTGACTTGATGGCAGCATTTGTTGCCAAAACATGTATATATCGTTCAGCATTAATGGTGTCTTGATGTGCACGTCACCCATGCCATGTGCACTAATGCTCCCCTATACCATCATGAAGACACAGTGTCCATGATTTCCAAAAAGAGTTTCAAATGTTGATTTGCGGAACACAGGACACTTTTCCACTTCACCTCAGTCCATTTTAAATGAGCTCAGGCCCAGAGAAGGTGGCAGCATTTCTGGATCCTGTTTATGTACAGTTTTTTCTTTGTGTTTTAGTTTTAACTTGCATTTGTGGATGCAGTGATGAACTGTGTTCACAGACAGTGGTTTTCAGAAGTGTTTCTGAGCCCATGCAGTGATTTCCACTACGGAATCACGTCTGTTTTTAATGCAGTGCTGCCTGAGGGCCCAAAGATCATGGCCAGCAAGTACTGGTTTTTGGCCTTGCCCCTTGCATACAAAGATTTCTCCAGATTCTCTGAATCTTTTAATGTTATTATCTACTGTTGATGAAAAGCAAAAGTTTTTCCTTATTTTATGTTGAGAAATGTTATTCTTAAATTGTTGCACTATTTGCTTATTCAGTCTTTCACAGAGTGGTGAACCTCTCCTAATCTTTGCTTCTGAAAGACTCAGCCTCTCTGGGACACTTTTTTAATACTCAGTCATGTTTTTTAGCATTACACAACTTTACCAGCCTTTAGTTGTCCTTGTCCCAACTTTTTTGGATGCCAACATGTTGTTGGTATCAAATTCAAAATGGACAAATATTTTTCAATAAATAATAGAATTTCTCAGTTTCAACATGTGAAATGTTGTTTCTTTGTACTATTTTCAATGAAACGTGGTTTAAGTGATTTGCACATCATTGCATTTTGTTTTTATTTACATTGTGCACAGCGACTCAACTTTTTTGGAAATGGGGTTGTATTTTGGTTTGTAAGGAAAGGAACTTCTCCTGTAAACGGCAGCTAGAAAATAAAACCTCTAGACAGCAAGTCTAGTGCAAGTCACTTCCGTACACTAATCAGAAGTCCAGTCATTTTGCAACACTGTTATGCTCTATCTGAATGGCTCTAATCTCCATTTCAACAATAGCCGTGGATAATCCAGATTGTTTGTAGCACTCTGCAGTTAGCATAACGCAAAAAAAACCCAACAGAAAATGTCCTTTTAAATTCATGTA